GTTATGTGGTTACCAGGTTTACGAAAAAAACCAGAAACGCATCAAAGGAAAATCAAGTTCACATGCCAAATTTGGAAGTTGGGCAGACCCACCAATTTAGAATCTAATAATGTAATTCCAAGCCACCGTTCACTTTTCGCACGACGCCACAGTGCATGACATGGAAAAGGTAGGTGAGTAATTAGAAAATTACGGATGGATAATGAAATTAGATCCCAAATCCCGTGCGAGGATATTTATTTCTATAAAAATGCATATGACTTTCTATAAATAATTAGATGAAAGGGCTTAAATGAGGGAGTATGAGAATTACTGTATATCGAAACTTTATCCCGGTGCGTTTCATATTCCATCTAGACCCTTTGGATTACGTACGTACATACGTATGTGGGTACATAGCACGCGCACACCATATTCTACAACCGAGTGCATGGTGAAAAAATAATCGTCAAGGTTTCGTATCACCTTAAATCCTGATATACCACCGTCTATCGTGCGAATTGCAACCAATCTTGATTCCTTGAGCGCGCATGTAAAGAGAGATCAATGAGACCGACTTCATTAATCCTTCTTCAGTATTATAATAAATAATCTGTGTAATCAATCATTCGTTAATGATAGACCTCATCATTCCTGTACACACGAATCAAGAGTGCGCACAATAGCCAAAATTTCAACCGTCTCACACGAGCACAAAAACTTGATTTGACCGGAATTTCAAAGGCCGGAAAGATTATCTTTCCAGAAGTTTCCATATTGACCTTCCAATGGTTACAAGTGAATTGCGCGTAAAAGCTTTTGCGCGCGCAAAACGCATTCTAGGCATTGAAGATCCCGGAAGTCCTCCTTCCGATATGTTAATTCATACAACCATAAATTCATGGTCATGCGCTTTTTCATTGAACGCATATCAAAGATTTATCTTTAAGTCACGTACTACCATGTAGACACATGTCCTCTGCATTCTCTAATGAACCCTAATGAACCCTAATGAACAACGTTGATTGACACATAATGAGTGATTCAGAAAATCCAATATTACTTGTTTCGAGCAAATTCCGTGAATAAGAAACAACCAAAAAATAATTCCACTTTCACACGCACACACACACACACACACACAAGTTGTTTTTTTTTTTTTCAAATATATGTGTATAATATACATATACATATATATTCTTTTTAGATCTTTATTATGGTTTTTTGTTCTGTTCTGTTCTGTTCTGTGTGATATAAAGCTCGAGCGAAAAAAAAAAAAAGTAAAAGTAATACATGAGTATGACGTGAAGAATGATGGATTGAGTGAATGATGATGGATTTATACAATATATACGATTGAGTAGTTCTATCTAGTAAGAAAAAAAAGGTAAATTAGAATGGCGATAGAAATTATTATGATTAAATAGTTCATACGGGATCGTGACATAATTAGCTTGACATATCTTAGGGGGTTGTTATACATAATTTCATATACATTGCATATTATTAACGATAGGAGAAAAAAAAAGAAATCGTTTTTTTTCTCGTTTTTTTTTTTCGTTTTTTTTTTTTTTTCTTCTTTTTTTGGTTGTTTTTTTTGATCCCTTAGTGTGTTATATATCGTGATAAAAAAAAAAAATATTGTTTGTTTTCCTCTGAAATTGGTGTAATTGTTCGTTGATGATGAGGAAGCAATAGGATATATGAAGAAAAAGTTGTTTGTAGAAAAAAAAATATATATTCTATGTTTCCTATTTACAAGAATAAAGGAAGAAGAAAAAGAAAAGTTTTTTTTTTTTTTTTTTTTTGTAATGACCCAAGATAAAAAGAAAAAAAAAAAAAATTGTCCGATTTGTTAGAATAATAATAATAATAATAATATAAGAATATGGTGAAGTTGGTCCTTAATTCCTGTTCGCCCTTGTCGGAGAACTGTACACTCGTTCCAGTTCTTTTCGGACCATCGATTGATTGGCCGGTTTGCTCACCCATCCATTCATCCCCGCCTCAAAGTATCGTTCTTCACAGGGATTCGTCGTGTAGGCAATTATCGGAATCTGTCGATTCTTTTCCAGGACGGTTGAGCCAGCGGCATGTATTGCGATGGTCGTTTCAATACCTGATAACTCAGGCATGTCGATATCCATAAATATGATATCATAAGGTTCGTCGGATAGCCGTTCGAGCGCTTCCTTTCCGCTCACGGTGCAAGTCGTGTTGTGTCCAAATTCTCTGGAGAGGATCTTTGATAGCATCCTTGCGGTGATTACGTTGTCGTCTACGATCAACGTTCTCACGCAAGGGTTGATTGACAGAGTTGCCATACCTGTGGAAACAGCTGTGACGGATGGGTCAGAGACGACGGTAGAAGCGGTGGGAGTGGTTGGTGAAGTCGCAGGTGAACCAGATAGATGAACTGTTGAAGAAGCGCAGGTAATAGCTGGCATGTTGATTCTTTCCAGCTTTCTTTGTACTTTTTTTCTCTTGGAGCTTTGTAAAGGGTGGGGCAAACTTTCTGCGCAGTTAATAATAAATGTGTGTGATATTGTTGTTGCTATCGCTGCTGTCGTGGTGGTGGTAGCTATTATGATTATTATATACTGTTGTCGACAAGTTGTTTGGTTCGTTCGTTCTCGTTAAAAAAACTGATTTGATGAGGGAAGTACGTTCGTGGTCACTTCCAGAATTGATATATAGCGAAAAAAAAAAAAATTAGGTTGTGTAGGAATTTTTGATAGACGGGAAACAATATACTGATTTATATATTTTTTGAACAAAGATGAAACTAGCCTAAATAGGAGATAGTAGCTTCACCGAATACCAAGACTTTTTGATGTACTACTCTGTAACATGTAGATGGTCATTATTAACTATTTTAAAACCTGACCGAGGAACCTAGACCCTTTTGAATAATATAAGTATTTATGCTCGGTTAAAGTAAAACCCCAACAGACCAACTCATCCAATCAAGTGACCCATTTATTATTATTATAGTATTAGGTGAATGCGGAAATTATTCAAAGTAGATGAGTAATCTTAAGTTATGTTATGCGGATCCTTGCCGCTGCTGTAATTGCCGTAATGCCGCGGTATTAATACTGCTTAGAAATTGAACTAAAATTCATTGGCAGAAAAGAATTTCCGAACATGTATAAAATTTCATTAATTAACCCTTTTACCCCTAGTTGATTCATTCTCACCGGAGCATCTATGGTTTAATGAATGATGGGCACATTCTCTCGTACGATGTGCCTTATTTCCTGCTTTGTGGGTTAGTGTGTTGCGAGTGACAGGAGGCGACAACCACATTTGACTGACTGAACTCATACGATCTACCCTCGATGGGAGGCGGATGGGCGGGTGTAAGACCTGAACAGAACGTGCACGCAGGAAAAGATGGTTTGCCTACCGGTTTGTTGTTGTTTTGTTTTTGCTGAGTCCAAGTTTTATGCCAGCATCAACTCATTAATCATGGGAAATCATCCAAATAGATGTTTGTATCACTTCTCCGCAAAAGCTAGGGAAATTAGTGGTGGTGAATTGTTTGCTGGGCTGGTTGGGTTGGTTGGTCAATAATAGATGTAATATGTTATTTTTGCCTTGTCTAATGTGCACATCTTGTGTGTGTATAAGTATGTATAATATGTATAAGGTCCAAAACACTCGACAAGAACCATGTATACACAAATAGATATATACATATACGTACTCATTAATACTTTTAGGTATCATATTTGTTACATCTCTCCCCTCTCTTATTCACATCGCACACGTACGTGCGTGCGCAACTTCAGTGGTCCATTGAGTAGACATTTCGGTCATTTCATATCTCGTTGACATTGATTCCCGAACGAGTATAATATTCACCCACCCACCCATCATCATCGCCCTACGGTCAATCGGCTTCTACTATTGTCTTCTCAGCTGCGGTGTTCAGTGTTTGTTGGCGACGCAATGTAGCGCAGAAAATATAATCGTGCCGATCACCGAGAATTGGAAAACAATACCATCATCCTCATTCATTATCATTTGTAATAAGGTTCACTCGCCACAATGAGCCACGCATCCTGTCGTTTGCTGCCGAATCTCACCTTATCAACAAACGCCGACGGTTGCCAAATCCATATTAATCGCTACTACGGTAAAGGGATGTGCGACCTTGTAAATGAAGAAGACGTGCGTACGATAGAAAAGTCGTATGATGTTACAACCACCATACTAGGCAATAAAAACATTGATGCCGTCGGAGATTTTCCCCAGACCATGGGTTTTCAATATTTACGTTGAGGTCGCTCTGTGTTCTTGTTTAAGCGTATACAAGTGGCATAACGCAAGATAATTATATGAAGCAACAGCAGTAATAATAGTCAATAATAATAATCAATAGCAATCGATAATAATAATAATCAATAATAATAATAATAATAATCAATAATGACAATAATCAATAATCATAATGACAATGATACTTTTTATTGTTGTCTGTCATTTATAGCATGCAATTGGTGAGCTTTTTTTTATATTATTATTACGGTACAGTGCATTCCACGAGAGAAGAATAAGAATGATCTTTCGAAACACCAAACAGTTAAAACAATTACAACACGCATACACAAGATTGCCATATAAAGGTAGGCGCAGTTTTCGGTCAAAAGTTTCATTCCGGGCAACAAAGAAACATATCAAATGAAAGGCATGTGACAAGTAAGCGGTGATTGAAATAGACAAGGGAACAGGAAAGTTGAGTGCGCAGCTTTTTTCACCATGTCATGCGGATGTATGCGAGTGCTGTCTCAACCATGTCATTGGCATGCGAAAGTTCCACACCCCAGCGGAAAAAATGTGAGTCATGGAATTTCTAATCGTGAGCAAACATGTCCCAATTTTCATGTGCACTTGTCCTTTTTTGAATTTTCTTTTAATGCACACACATCCCTCGTGCCAAGTATTAGGACGGAATCCGTTTGCTATTGTCTTGATGCATTTTTCGTAGATTCTGATGGTAGCGACGACGACGACGACGACAACGATGTGCGTGTAACCCTTGTCGAACAAAGAGGTCATCGTTTATTGTTCAGATCGTGATTTCTCTCACTGGGGGGAGGTCACATTTCCCGGTGACGTAAAGACGTAGATATCGTGCGTGCAAATCACAATCTCGCACATATTCGAGTGCATGAGACCACCTTCCAGATTCTTTCTTTCTTTCGATCGATCCGCTGTCGTCAGTTGTCAAAGATTGATAGTTTATTACGCACATGTAGACCACACGCACACGTAGACCACACGCACACACACACGTTCGATACATGATGTGAGCGGAATTTTGTGCGTCCCGAAAACAAAAACGTGGCCAATCTTATTGATCGGAGAATTATTGAAATTTCGATGCACACACACACACAATGTAGGTGATATTATTAATGCATAATTTAATGGACGATAATATAACGTTTTTGAAACATGTAATCCTTACTTATTGTAACTAGCGTTATTGACTACCTGTGCGTATCTTGTTGGCAGGATTTCACATCTTTCTCTTGTCGAGTTAGCCAGCTTTGAAACGTGTTCGTTCAAATCGGATCCCATTCTCTAGTCAGGCCACCTTATCTTATGAATAACCCATGCGACGTTAAAAAAATTTTTTGGTTGATACAATTGATAATTCCACGGCATTTTCTTTTTTCCACAATAATGAGCCTCCATTTAAGTTCCAAATTTGGCATGTGAACTTGATTTTCCTTTGATGCGTTTCTGGTTTTTTTCGTAAACCTGGTAACCACATAAC